GAGTGTGTGTGTGTGAGTGAGTGCGTGTGAGTGAGTGCGTGTGTGTGTGCGCGTGTGTGTGAGTGTGCGCGCACATGTGCTCAGTGAGGTGCTGCCCACCAGAAACTGGACTGTGACTAACAAAGAGCTTCGATACCTATTCACAGCAAGTCAATTAATAAATCATATTAAAATATCTCTAACCTTAGTCCCTTTTTAGGGAGGGTGTTTCGATCTAGTTGCACACTGTTAAAACAAAGAGATATCACTCACAGCACATGACAAGAACAAGCATTGTCTCAACATCTATGCATTGTTGATATTAAATAACAAATAACTTTCGGTTAATCAGTTAGTGCAAAGGAAATGTGTTTATTTTAGGTTTGAGCCTATGTAGTTCATTCAGCTCAGGTTAGCTGAACAACATGGAAGGAAAGCATTTACGATTAGAATAAAAGCAACAAAATTCAACCACTCAGAAAGGAACTCTGCTCCCTGTATCTGAATAAACTGAAGAAAGAATCCCTCAGAGATGAATGCGTTCACCCTCAATGACTGTGATAGTATATGGGATTGAACTGTGCAGTTCTGTGAACAACATCTTTGAAATAACTGCACAGAGGCTGGTATGCTATCACCAAGTCTCCCTTTATTTACACTTGGACAGTCCTTGACACTGCTCCAGCTCCATTACAGCCAGCTCGCAGAATGAATAGAACCCCTGGCTCTCCTGTTTATATCTGTCAGCCAGGACTCCCTGATTGGATTCTGCGAAGTCCACCTGGCTGACCTCATTACAACCAGGACAATCTCTGTCCTTTCTAGACTCCAATACTTATTCGGGGCAGTGGGATGGGATAGGGTGCATTGGAAAGGGTTGGGGAGGAGTGAGGTATGTTGGGCGTGGGAGAGACAGTGAAGATAACTCACTGTATGTACAACTGTACATTGCTGACCTCTAGCTGGAAGGTACGAGATAGGAGAGGTCCTCAAGGCTGATCACCATTCAGCATCCTGTCCAATCCTCCACCTCAACACCACTTTCAATTGCATTTTCTCCCAATTCTTTGTGCCCCAAATTTTATCAATCCCAACCTGGAATATACTCAGCAATTGAGCAGACACAGGGATAGCGAATTCCTAAGATTCCCAACATTGTGAGTAACGAAGTTTCTCCTCATCTCCGTCCTAAATGGCCAACTCTGTGTTATACATTCTCCAGCTGTGACCATGTGTTCTACCTTCTCCAGTTAGGGGGAAGCAGCCAGTCTGTGTAGACACTGTCAACCTCCTTCAAAAATTTTTCCCTTTCAATGAGATCACCACCCATTCTTCCAAACTTCAGAGAAACCATATCTGTTCCACTTGATCCCTTCACAAAGCTGAGGGGTGCTCAGGACCCTGGTATGGAGTGGGGGAAAGGAATCACATTTTCATGAACAAAGAACAAAGAAAATTACAGCACAGGAACAGGCCCTTCGGCCCTCCAAACCTGCGCCAATCCAGATCCTCTATCTAAGCCTGTCACCTATTTTCCAAGGATCTGTCTCTCTCTGCTCCCTGCTCATTCATGTATCTGTCTAGATACATCTTAAATGATGCTATCGTGCCTGCCTCTACCACCTCCGCTGGCAATGTGTTCCAGGCACCCACCACCCTCTGTGTAAAGAACTTTCCACGCATATCTCCCTTAAACTTTTCCCTTCTCACCTTGAAATCGTGACCCCTAATAATTGAGTCCCCCACTCTGGGAAAAAGCTTCTTGCTATCCACCCTGTCTATACCTTTCATGATTTTGTAGACCTCAATCAGGTCCCCCCACAACCTCTGTCTTTCTAATGTAAATAATCCTAATCTACTCAACCTCGCTTCATAGCTAGCGCCCTCCATACCAGGCAACATCCTGGTGAACCTCCTCTGCACCCTCTCCAAAGCATCCACATCCTTTTGGTAATGTGGCGACCAGAACTGTACGCAGTATTCCAAATGTGGTCGAACCAAAGTCCTATACAACTGTAACATGACTGCCCTTCAAACACTTTGTAATCATGTGAGATGCATTAAGAAGGAAGCACAGTGACTGCAGGTTGGCTGTTTGGCGACACTGAGAGCATGCCATAGGGAAACAACAGGCTGTTAGAATGAGCCCAGTGACTGAGGGAAAGCTGCAAGCCTCGGAATGGAGGGCACTTATACTCCCAGAATAGCTATGCCTTCCTCTTCATGCAGTCATTTAGAAAGGAGATTACCTGATGTGGGGTGTGATGTCACTTAATAAGCAATTTCATCAATCAAACATTGCAGGTAATCATTAAATTATTGGATAACACAGTACATGCTGAGACCATTCAGCCCATCATGCCTGTACACCTCTCAAAACGTGCAGTCCCATTCATTCCACTACCCTTTCTCTGTCCCCACAGCGCTGAAATGCTCCCAATACAAAACTTTGTGCAATTCCCTTTTGAGAGTTACTCCTGAACCAGCTTCCCCTGCCCTACCAGGTAGCATGTTCCTAGTCACCACTAATCACTGGATAAAACTAAATTCGCCTCATTCACCCCAACACCCTCCCTGAGCCTAGCTCTCACATCAAAAACTGTTTCTCCCAGAAAGTGGAAGAGAGAGGAGTTTGTGTTTGCATAATACTTGATCCCATCTGCCAACAAAGTACAACAACACCTCAGATTCATTACAATGCTGTCATGTGGGTAGTATGGCAGGTGATTTGTACACAGTAAGATCTCACAGACTGAAATGAAATGAACAAACAAGTAAAGGCTGCTTTTCACTGGTTTGGACTTGCAGGAGGAATGTTGGCCAGGGACCCGGGGAATCTCCCTGCTCCTCCCTTACACCATATCACAAAAGCTCATGTGAATTATTGGAGTAGGTTTAGATCTCTAGCCAACCAGCCAGGCCAGAGACAATGCATCACTTATGCAGAACCACAGGGCTAAAACCCACAACCTCCTGTCTCAGAGAAGGAGCTCCTACAGAATGCAGCAAGGTGGTATGATTGTGGAATATCTCAACTCTACACCTTCCGTTCTGAGGCAGTGCCTGTACAGTGTCTGAGTGAGTGGTTGTGAACAATATTACAGGCCTATCTCTCCCAGCTAGGGTTCACTGTGAACACTGTCTCAACCAGCCATGGTACATGCTGTTCTGATTAAACACCTCAAACCCCAAATTCAGATCCAGGCTGAGATGTGACCTAAGGTTCAGTCAAGGGTTAGGAAAATGGGGCAGGAGCTTGTTCCACTGGGATATTGTTCTGATTTTCAAATGGCTGTATTGGCTTGTTGGAGGGGAGTGTCATCAATGCAGCCTTGCCCCGTCACGGACAGTGTGTTGGCCATTAACATCAAAGCTGGGTGGCATTGAGGGAATGGGGCTTCATTAGGACTCAAGGCCAGCAGCTCGATTTCTAACTGTGACCCAGGAAATAGTGAGGAGGTGGGAGGTCATGTCAGGAGGTACAGCCTTAGATAGGTCTTGTCAAGTTATCAAACTGACCTCATTTCAGCCCTGCTCAGCCTGGACAAGACATTTCCAGGATCACATTCTGGGAATCAAGGTGGGCAGTTCACCCCAATAAAGTCAAAAGTGTAATTTGGATATAGACCTTGCCTGTGATCATGAGCCGGGAGAAGTGATTCAGAAAATGATCTGTTCATATCTTGTTAAATTTGTTCTTAAGAAGCAGCTAATACAATCCCCTTCAGTCCGGGGTAGTTTGATCGCAGTTTCTGGTCTTGGTGTGACGTCAGCAAAGGATTTACCTGGCGAGCTTCCGAGAATGAGTGATCCTGTGACACTGAAGTACGCTAACAAGGAAACAAAGTGGACTAGTAGTGGACAACTCCAACTGGGACCGAACCCCTGCTGGGACTGAACTCCAACTGAGGCCTAGTTCCACCTGGGGCCTAGCTCTGGCTGGGGCCTAACTCCAACTGGCATAGAGCTCCAAGTAGGACTCAACTCCAATTGGCATTGAACTCCAACTGAGACTGAACCCTGTTGGGACTGAACTCCAACTGGGGCCTAACTCCAACTGGGGCCGAACTCCAACTGGGGCCGAACTCCAACTGGGGCCGAACTCCAACTGGGGCCGAACTCCAACTTGGACCGAACTCCAACTTGGACCGAACTCCAACTTGGACCGAACTCCAACTTGGACCGAACTCCAACTGGGACTTAACTCCAACTGGGGCCTAACTCCAACTGGGGCCTAACTCCAACTGGGGCCTAACTCCAGCTGGGGCCTAAGCAATGTTTTATAAATGTTTATGAATCTGGATCTGAGTATTTCAGCCACAGCAGAGTTCCCAGTAACTCACCTCTCTGACAGTGTTGACTTGACGCTCCCAGTCCTCAGCAGCAGGTTGGGTACATCCCCCTTAGGCACAGTGGTCAGTCCAGATAACGAGCCGTGGTGACTGAGTGGGAGGTCGATCGACTCGGAGCTGGTGTGCAGGCTGGTCAGGGAAGGGTAGCTCAGAGTGTCCTTACTGCCCCCTGGGGAGCTGCTGAGGCTGGTCGTTAGCTGGTGTGCACTGGAGGTTAGTGAGTGAAGGGAAGCTGGGCTCGAAGCCAGGCTGCTTCCTTCTGTGGGTAACTCGGGAGGTTTACAGCTCAGAGAGCTGCTTCCTCCACCACTGCCCTGGCCACTCGCAATACTCCCTGGCCCCATGGAAGGTGACTCCAGGCTGACCTGCCGGCTCAGAGAGGCGTGGGGGCTAGAGATGACAGAGGAGCACTTTGCTGGTTCGGAACTAGGCACACTACTTGTTTTCCCACTCGCCTTTGTTCCAAACAACCTACAGGAAAAGACAGAGAATAACAAGTCATGCTGAGGGTTTGTGACAGTAAACAATGTCTCAAGGAGGAATTGGTCTTTTGGACAAAATATCTGACAGCGTTCTAAAAATATCACACAAATCAAGCGGAACAAAAATCAGGGCAGCCTGAATGAAGCCACCGCTGAGGGAAGTGTTGCATGTTGGAACTGCCATCTTTCATTTGCTCACTCGATGTTTCTGGCAGGTTCTGCGGCTTACTACGCTTCTCAACCAACATCACAAAAAAATGCAAATTATCTGGTTATTACCGTCATCAGGTTTGAGGGAGCTTCCTGGGCACAAGCTAGTTAATGCATTTCCTAACTTACAAATGACATAACTCACTGACTCCCAAATGAATGTCCACCATCTACAAGGCAAAAGTCAGGAGTGTTACGGAATATTCCCCATTTTCCCTCAACGGGTGCAGTTCCAACAACACCATCCAGGACAAAGCCATCCACTTGACTGGCCCCACACCCACTCCCTACACCACTGACACTCAGTAGCAGCAGCAGTGTGTAATATTTCATAGGACCTCTACAGTGTGAAAACAGGCCACTTGGCCCGACAAGTCCACACCTCCACATCCTACCCAGAGCCATCCCCCTGGTCTATCCCAGTAACCCTGCATCACCCATGGCTGTATCACCTAATTTACACACCCCTGAGCACAATGGACAATTTAGCATGGCCAATCCACCTAGCCTGCACATCTTTGGACTGTGGGAGGAAACCGGAGAACCCGGAGGAAACCCACGCAGATGCGGGGAGAACGTGCAAACTCCACACAGACAGTTGCCTGAGGGTGGAATCAAACCCAGGCGAGAAATTATTCATTTTGGGAGGAAGATTGAGGAGAGGTAAGAGAAAAGAAAAGGTGTGGTTTTAAATAGAGTACATCAGCACAGAATGCTGGGTATTTATCTCCTCAAAATCACTGAAGGTGGGATGGGTCCTGGTTGTAAGAGTGGATAAAATCCAATGGAATCCTGAGCTTTATAAAGAGAAACTAAGTGGAAGTTTTATTAGCCAATGGTTCCAGAGGATGTGTCCAACTCTGATCTTCACTTCAGGAAGGATGTGAGTCTTTCAGAATGGAGCAGTAAAGATTGATGAGAATAGCCCGAGGGATGAGATACATCAGGAGGCATTGGCTCCATCACCTTTAGTAAGGGATGTGAGGGGGTTTGATAGAGGTTTTCAAAATCACAAGGGGTCTGCACAGAGCCTATAGCAAGAAACTGTACCTCTAGTTAGAATAGTCGAGAGCTGGATGGTATCAATTTACACTGAGTGTCAAAAGAGGCAGAAATGACACAAGATCAAAGATTTTACACAGCAAGTGGCTAGGTTCTAGAATGCACTTTGAGACGGTGGTGGACATTTAAAAAAGAACTGGATTATTGGGTGAATTATTATCTGAAGAAAATACACTTGTGGAGCCACAGAGAAAAGGAAAGAGAGTAGGATTCATGGTTTTGCTCTTCCAGGGAGCCAGCACGGGTACGATGAGTGAATGGGTTTCTTCGGTGCCATAACCACATCATAATTTTACAATATAAACCATGCATGTGTTCAAGACATTTGAAAGCAATTGACAAAAAGTTAGGGGTTTTGGTTCGCACTGCTGCCTCACAGCGCCAAGAACTCAGGTTCGATTCCACCCTCGGGCGACTGTCTGTGTGGAATTTGCACGTTTTCCTCGTGTCTGTGCGGATTTTCTCCGGGTGCTCCGGTTTCCTCCCACAGTCCAAAGATGTGCAGGTTAGGTGGATTAGCCATGCTAAATTACCCATACTGTCCAGGGATTTGGATTAGCCATGATAAATGTGGCATTATGGGGATAGGGTCAGAGACTTGGTCCGGATGGGATGCTCTTAGGAGGGTTGGTGCATGCTTAATGGGCTGAATGGTCTCTTTCCACATGGTAGGGATCTTATGGTACTGCACCAACCATCGTTAAATCAAATCCCATAATCGTGAATCAGTGTTCTCAGATTTGTGCAATTATTGCTCACTGTATGATGGTAATGTCATTCCATAGCTGTGGTTAGACTGCCTTTTGTTGGAGGAAATGTTTCCTTGCAGTTATGAGTCATGATTGCCTATTGCTAGTTATCTGCCAAAAAAATAAACTTTGTCAGGTCTTGCTGTTTGCAGTTTGGAATTAAGTGCCAGAAAAGAAAACCAAAAGATCGTTGCAAAAGACCAATTAGTTCACTCTAAGTTTTCAAAGAAGGGAACCTGTCCCTCCATACACAGTTCAGTTCACACTTTTTCAATGTGCAGGTGGACTGGGAAAATCAGGTTGGTTGTGGATTGCAAGGAAAGGAATTTGTGGAAAGTCTGCGAGATGGCTTTTTAGAGCAGCTTGTGGTGCAGCCCACTAGGGAACAGGCAAAACTGGATTTAGTGTTGTGCAATGAGGCAGACTTGATAAGGGACCTTAAAGTGCAGGAACCTTGAGGAGCAGTGATCGTGATATGATAGAATTTACTCTGAAGTTTGAGAGGGAGAAGCTGGAATGGTATTACAGTTGAGTAAAGACAATTCCAGACGCATGAGGGAGGAGCTGACCAGACATGACTTTTTGGTACAAAAACTAAAATCACAAGGGACTCAGGGTGGGCTGGCTAGATGGATAGAAACCTGTGGTGAAAGGGTGTTTTTCAGCATGGAGACCAGTAACTAGTGGTGTTCCACAGAGGTCAGTCTTAGGTTCTCTGTTGTTTGTAGTATTTAAAATAATCTGGAGGAAAGTGTGGATGGTCTGATTAGTAAATTTGCAGATTACACGAAGATTGGTGGAGTTGCTGATAGTTGATGATTATGAAAGTAAACAACAGGATGTAGATAGATTGGTGACTTGGGCACAGAAATGGCAGATGGAGTTTAATCCAGACAAATGCGAGGTGACGCATTTTGGAGGATCAAATTTAGATGTGAATTAGATGTAAATGGCAAAACCCCTAAGAACATTAACATACAGACGGATCTGGGCGTGCAGGGGTCTGAGGCTTTATAAGGCTCTGCTCAGACCACGTTTAGAATGTTGTGCGCAGTTTTGGGCCCCATACGACAGGAAGGATGTACCGGCCCTGAAGCGGATCCAGAGGATGTTCACTAGAATGAGCCCAGGAATGAAAGGTTTAAGATAAGAGGAATGTTTGAGGACTCTGGGCCCATACTCGATGGAGTTTAGGAGGATGAGGGGGGACCTAAGTTTCTATGATTGAAACTTACAGAATACTGAATGGCCTGGATAGAATGGATGTTGGGAAGATGTTTCCATTAGTAGGAGAGACTTGGATCTGAGGGCACAGCCTTAGAGTAAAGGGAAGACCCTTTAGAACGGAGATAAGGAGAAACTTCTTCAGCCAGAGAGTGGTGAATCTATGGAGTTCATTGCCACAGAATAACCAGCTATTCGCCTGTGTTGCTTATATCTTAAAGGGAAGCAAAGAGAAAGGGAATTCCTGAATGTCCTGGACATGTAAGCATACCATAGGAATTAGGAGAAGGCAACTCTGCCCCTCAAGATCATTGTTCTGCCAATCAAGATCATGACTTGATATGTGTCACATCCCCACCTAATCTCCATGACCTTCTATCCCCTTGACTATCAAGAATCTCTCTACCTCTACCTTAAAAAACAATTGAAAGATTACAGTTCCACCATTTTTTGATGACGAGAACTTGAAGGACTAATGATCCTCTGTAAGAAAGAAGTTCTCCTAATCTGAGTCTTAGAAATGTAACCTCTTCTTTTTAAACAGTGATCTCTCATTCTAGATTCTTCCACAAGAGGAACCATCTCTCTCCTTTGTCATACCCCTCAGGATCTTATACATTTCAATCAAACCAGCTCTTACACTCCTAAACATCAGTGGATACAGGTCCAGCCTGTCCATCCTGTCTCAGGGGGTAACTCTGTTCCAGGCATTTGTCTGATAACATTCATTTGTTATCTTTCCTTATATAAGGTGTCAAATATTATGCACAGCTCTCCAGATGTGGTCTCACCAGGGCCCTGTGTAACTGAAGTGTAATCTAACTACTCTTGCATTCAATTCCTCTTTCAGTAAACCATGACATTCTATGAGATTCCCCAATTACTTGCTGTACCTGCAAACTAACCTTCTGTGGTTCACACACTGGGACACCCAGATCCCTCTGTATCTCAGAGCACTGCAAGCTCTCACCATTTAGATACGATGCAATATTTTTATTCTTTCTGCCAAAGTGGACAATTTCACACTTTCCCAAATTATATTCCATTTACCACAACATCATCCACTCACTGAACCTATTAATATCTTTTTGTCAGCTACTTGCGTCTCTTCAATATTTACTTTCCTACTTATCATTTTGTTATCAGCAAACTTAGCTACCATTCCTTCCATCCCTTCTTCCAAGTCTTTTATGTAAAACGTTGAGGCCCTAGCACTGACCGCTTTGTCATACCACTGACTACATTTATCAATCAGAAAATGACACCTTTATGCCTACTCTCTGTAGATACAGATACATAACAAATTGTCCATATGGTCCTCAACACATCCTTCAGTTGGAAAGATGTGAAAATGTCTGTCTTCATTTCAACAGCTAACAGAAATCTTAAAGAAGAACATAAACTGCTAGAGAAACTCAGCAGATCTGGCAGTGTCTGTGGAGAGACGATCAGAGTTAGCATTTCTAATTCAGTGACCCTTCTTCAGTACTGTTCTGAATTAGCCATACTGGACTCAAAACATTAAATCTGTTTCTCTCTCCATTGATGCTACCTGCTGAGTTTCTCCAGCAATTTCTGCTCTTCTTTCACATTTCTAGCATCTGCAGTTCTTTGTTTTATTTCAATGGGATTCTGTTCTGTGTTGGAAAGAAGTTCACTCCTATAGAGTGGGCAACAGTGTACAGTGACCTCTGTGTTCCCATTCCGAGAGAGTGTGAGTCTGAGATAGAGGTGTAACAATGCACTCTCTGAGTCATAGCATCATACAGCACGGAAACAGACCCTTCGGTCCAACCAGTCCATGCCAAATGTAATCCCAAACTAAACTAGTCCCACCTGCCTGCCCCGGCCCATATCCCTCCAAACCTTTCCGTGTGGTCTGGTTCCTCATGTGGAGCTTTTCCTGATTTTGGAATTCATTACGCAGTGTTACTAAGTTTGGGACCAGAATATCTGACTGGTGCCAACCACAGACAAGTGACATTGTGTCCAGCTCTGAAATCCCTGATTATCTGCTTGTAAAGGATGAAAACGAAACAGCACCCATTGCAGCAGACCACCTGGCCAGATTGTTTCATCGTGTCACTAACCTGCGGAATGTTGGTGAGGAGATGTCGGGATACTTGGAACCCTGTTGCCTTAGTCCGGAGGTTCCGCTGCTGTTCACGGACGGAGGGCTGGACTTTGGGGAACTTGACAGTGACATTGTTTCTGGATCTGACACTGCAGTTGCCTTGTCCCGCTCCCTCTCCCCTTGAGCAATGCTAATGGGGCTGGAATGGCCTGAGCCGACCTTGGAAGGCTCTCTGAGCCTGGAGGCTGCGTTGCCAGCTGATTTTCCACCAGCGTTGGAATCGATGCTGCTGGTACTGGAACAATGTCCACCACGGCTGGTTATGGTGCCAGCACTGGTCTTGTCGGGCCGGGGCAAGCTGCGGTACTGCAGGTTAGTCCTGGAGCTGATCAGCAGGATCCCGTCCTCCTGGTTCTGTGAATCATCCAGGCTTGTCTTTCTAACGGAGCTCGACTTGCTGGGGATGCCAGAAGACTTGGGCACTTTCCCCAGTGTGGCAGAGCCACTGGTCACTGTCACCCCACTGCTGGCACTGATGGTCAATGAGCAGACACCTGCTTTCTTAAATCCAAAGGAGCCAGCAGTGGATGTTCTTACAATTCCAGACGGAGGCTTCTTCCCTTCATCTCCACTGCTCTTTCCTGCCTCCGAGGGAGAGTGCTGGGTGGTTGTGCTTTTTAAGGACACCTTTCCCTTCTCCGAAACTTTAACATCTTCTATTTTTCCTGCAACTGGAATATTGACAATTAAACAGAGTACTTACATCACACAAATAGGCCATTTGGCCCAATAGTTGCAATCTAGTGATAATAGTCCTCATTCTATTCTTTGTTTGAGACCATCATTCAACCCTCTATTTCTTCTTCCCTGTTAGGTTTATCCAGTAAATGCAGCTATAACTACTTCCTCAATCTCCTTGTGATAATGAGTTCCACATACTTTTCACTCTCTGGGTACATTTCTCTGCAATTTTCAACTGGATGTGTCTGTGACTGTCTTATAGCAATGTCCACCTCAGTTTGGGCCTCAGATGGAAACATCTCCTCTACATCAAGCTAATAAAATCCCTCATTTCTTTTCAAATCTCAATGAGTTCATCCTTGCCTTCTTTACTTTTTCACACTATCACTCTAGCCTTTCCCAATAAACACAGCTGCTCAGTTCACATGCTAATGTCCCATCTTTTCTCACCTGTGCTAATCTCACATATCTTTTCATATCTATTCCCATCATATCACTGAGTTTGATGAAATCAGAACAGAGACTGTTGAAGAAACTCGGCAGGTCTGGAAGCACCTGTGGAGAGAGAAACTGAGTTAACGTTTAGAGTCTGATACGATTCTTCTTTGGAGAAAGAATTCAGAGTTCTGAAAAAGGGTCTGTCTCCACGGCATTGCCTAACCTGCTGAGATTCTCCAGCACTCTCTGTGTTAGTTTCAGATTTCCAGTATCTGCAGGGTTTTGCCTTTCTCACTGAGTGGGTCATTTCTGTGACCTTACCTGGTGTTTTTAAGGGCTGTTTGTTCCGCGGTGTTGGTACCCCTCCTTGCGCTGTCATACCCCGTCTCCATGATCCTGTTTGAGACAGAGACAGAGATGGTCTTTGTCCTTTCTCAGAATCATCTGATAAATCAGACAGGTTCCTCTTCCACTTTTCACTCAAGTCCATTTTCGAAACGTCCAGACCCTCCTCCGGCTTCTTCAAATCTTCCCCGCTCCAAGCGGTTTCATTTTCTGATGTCGAGTGCTTCTCTGTGTCAGGTTTGGGCTGCAAGAAGGTCATCAAGCAAAGTCAGAACCATACAGCAGTGGTCAGTATTTTGTCTGTTTTGCTTTTACCTTGACCAAGAATGATTTTATATCTTATTCTATCATCGGAATCTCTCTCTCCCTCACTAATCATATGAAGCTCTGACTGCAAAGGACCAGTTGAAGGTTCAGGAGAAGATTCATAAATTATCATTCAGTAAGTTCATCTCGGGATAGACTGCAAATAAAACACAGATTCAATATCATTGGCAAAAGAACCAGAAGGCAAGATGAGGAGACGTTGTTTTTAACACAGTGAGTTGTTATGATCTGGAAGGCACTCTCTTGATAGAACAGTGGAAACAGATCTTATAATAACCTTCAAAAGGGAATTAGACTAATATTTGAGAAGGGAGAATTTGCAGGGTTATGTGGAAAGAACAGGTCAGTGGGACTCAATGGCGATATCTTTCAAAGCGCTAATCTGGGCACAGTGGATAGTTCCCCCGGAGCTGTGCTGTCAGATCATCATTCTGTACATGAATCAATAGGAGGGTCCATCTCCGCATTTGCAGTGCATTGAGGAATATTTAGATATTCATTTGCTGGCATTCAAAGCAAAAACATTTCGCTAACCGCAGAGCCCAGATAGCTTTCAGCAACATCAATTCTGGCTTCAAAACCAGCATCTGAGCTGTGAGATGAAGACATCAGATTTCAGGCATGAGCCTGTCACAACATTATTCATAAAGTCTCCCTTTAACAATAAGTTTCATGATCACCCTCACAGACTCTACATGGGAGTATATGATTGGCCAGTGTGGCTTTAAATTTTAAGTATCTCTCTTCCCTGCTATTGTAACACCCTCCATTCATTGATGGCCTGTCTATTCTAATCTTCCAGCTCTGAGTTGCTGTGCGTTCTCAGCTTTGCTTCATCCTCTTCCTGCTTTCAAAACCACATCTGATGGAATAATCTTTCCAACCCAGCATGAGTCACCCTCCTGGCTCCATAAACCCCCACGCCGCGACATCCCAATCACCCTCATACACAGTCTAACCCTCTGCCAGGGAGGTAAGAACATTGAAGAATTGTAAACTTCATATCCACATCCTGACAGTTATCCTTGTACTTTAACAGGATAACCACATTAAATTCAAAATATTTTACACTCATTGACATTTTTTGATAGCTTTGTTTTTCTTTACATCATTGATATTAGAGACAGTAAGAACTGCCAATGCTGGAGTCTGAGATAACACAGTGTGGAGCTGGATGAACACAGCAGGCCAGGCAGCATCAGAGGAGCAGGAAAGTTGACGTTTCGGGTCGGGACCTTTCTTCAGATTTTTCTGAAGAAGGGCCCCAACCCGAAACATCAGCTTTCCTGTCAGTGATATCAGTGCTTTCATTGGGAACACGTACCTGAGTTCTGGTATTCTTCCTGGAAGAGGCAGTGATATTGGAATACGAGCTGATAGATGAGGTTGTGTTCAGGTCATCAGTACTAAGGTTATCGAGTGTGTCACTGAGACCACTGCTGATGGAGCTGCTATCATCCCAACTAGAACAAGGAGAGAGACAGAGAGAAAAATCCCCAGTTAACCACTTTAACACTGTCACAATCACAACGTAGCCACCACTGAATTAGATGTTTTGATACAATTATGCATGACTGTACTATCTAGGGCCATTACATCAATGCTGGTTAAAGGTGCAGTGGTACTTTTGCCACGTTTGATTCAGGTAAACCTGGGTTCCAATCTCATCTTCCCCACAGGTTTGTTAATCTGAACAAGTTGGTTTCAAACAAAATACTTCAGACAGGCTGAGCTTAGAATTAATCAAAGTAACACTGTGCAAATCATCAGAAATGGTTAAAGTCCCTGACTTAAGGTGTTTTATTTTTACCAAATATCCTCTGCCCTGCAGCCCATTTCTTTTTGTTGATATAACACACTTGCTACAATTTGTATTTCTCCCAGCTGGTTTTTGTCTCATCATTTCAACTTTTTCAAGGGTTTTTAATTTGGAAAAGTGGGATCACCTTTCGCAGCAGTCAAAGGAAGGGTGAGAAAGGTGTCCTTTGCCCTCATTATTGAGCACGATGATGTGATGAACAAAGAGCTTCAATAAAGTAATTGGGAAATGTAGCCCCTGCCTAGGAATTATCAGACTCTGCTCTGGCACCACTGCTGGACAAGCAAAACCTCCCTCCAATTAAACATTGGGAAGACTAAAGCCATTGCTCTGGAATCAATTCTCTAGCTCCCAACTCTACGTCTCTCCCTTGCACCAATATAAGATAAAACTGGAGTGAAACTCACAAATGTACAGTACAGAAGGAGGCCATTCAGCCCATCATGTGTGCACTGGCTCTCCAAGCAAGCATCATTCCCTAGTGCCAATCTGCCTTTTTCCCCCACATACTTGCACATTATTCTCTATGTAAATAATCATCCAATACTCTCTTCAATACCTCCTGCCTGCTCACAACCTTGATGTATATTTCACCAAGAGATGATTCTGACCTCTTATTCCTGTCCCTGTTTCAGCCCATCTGCTGCTGAAACCCTCATCCTCACTTTCATCACTTCTCGAATCTCCTATTCCGATGTACCCCTGGCTGCTTTCCAAATCTCTGCTGCTCGTGGACCATAAGGTGCTCACTGACCTACACACTGGTTCCCAGGCAAGTAACATCTCCATTTTCAAATATTCTTCCTCATTTTAAAATCCTTCCATCACTCACCCCTCCCCACCTCTGTGATCTCTTGTGGCAACGCAACACTCTGGGATATCTGTGCTCATCTAATTCCAGTCTCTTGAGTAACTCTCATTTCAAATCACTGTACAACCGATGGCTGTTTTGGTTATTTTGATCACAAGCTTGGGAGAAATTTCCTTTCACTGCTCCACCTCTTAACCTTGCCTCTCGTTTGAAGACATTTCTTCAGCCACCAACTTGGACCAAACGCTGATCATCAAATCAAAAAACTCCATTTTGTCTAAAAACCACATGTCAAGCACCTTGGGGAAATTTCAATTTGTTAAATTCATGATATAAATAGAACCTGCATTTCTGAAGAAGGGTCCCGACCTGAAACATCAGCTTTCCTGCTCCTCTGATGCTGCCTGGCCTGCTGTCTTCCTCCAGCTCTACACTGTGTTATCTCAGACCCAACAGTTCTAACTATCTCTGAGTGGTAAATAGAATCTGTTGTTTTTTTCTGTCAAGTTGAAATATGCAGCAATTATTCCTGTTATGGGTTCACATCCTCAGGTCAGAGTGTCCTGAGGAGGTCAATGACCAAATGGGCTATGTTCTGGTCAGACCGGAGCTTAATGACTCTATCCAGCTATCCAGGTACCATGGAAACATTTACAATCTGGGGGGCCATACACACAAAAACAGTAAAGCCGATGTGAGAGACTTCAGTTTGTCAGAGTGGAAAGGATGATCTGAGACACAGTTTTGCAATAGCACCAATATTCGATGCACATGCCTGGGACAAGATCACAGAAACAAAACCAGTAAGAGACAGACTCCAGTATCCAGAAATCACAAACAGCAATGAATATATAGCAACACAACAGAGAATTGGACAAACGGTGAAACAATACTTTGTTCTTGCCCACGGACAAATTTAATGCTTTCATGAATGGGCTGAATGACCTGCCTGATCAATAATCATCTTGTGATCGAGTCTTGCCACTTGTAAAGCTACAAGAATATGAGGTCACCTGACCCATAGCTGCAGATCCTGATACAGTGGAACGGTGGTGAAACAGGTCATGTGGTATCTCTCTGGAGGTCAAATCATAAACTTGTGACAAAATGGAGATGATTGTGTTACGGTTCCGCCTCTCTGATACAACATAATTGCTGTCTTTAATTTTTGATCTCTGTGGTTCTTATTTCTCTGATCCATTCATATTGGTCCCTGTTGCTGTTATTTTTGGGGTACAAGGCTCTGAACTAGACCAGCTTGGCAAAATCCTGCTTCTAGATCACACTCTTCAAACAGCTTAAATATTACTACCATCAATAAAAGACTTGCACTTACGCAGTGTTTTTCAGTCTGCAGCCAGTGTGACCTGTGGCAGAGAAATGCAGCAGTCGTTCTGCACACAGCAAGCTCCCCCAAATAGCAGTGTGATAATGATCTGACAGGACTTTTAGCAGTTTAGGCTAAAGGATAAATATTGGGCCAGGATGTGAGGCAGAATTCCACCCCCCCCCAACTCCTCTTCAGAAATGAAGGCCATAAGATCATTTACATAACCTGAAAGGCTAGACAGAGCATCAGTTTAATTGCTCCTTTAAAAAATGGTACCACTGACAATGCCTCAGCGTTGCCTTGGATTGTCAACCTGGATTATGTGCTTAAATTTCTGAGCCAGTTACTGTGAGGGTTCTGTAACTTTGGAATGTTGCAAAGAAACAGATGGTTCAATCAGTGAGAGAACCCTGGAACCACTGACTCAATTTATTGGAATCAGTTTGCAGGTAACTTTTTATTTTGTTTACAGAGCAATTTCCTTGTTGGGAGCAAACTATCTGAATTGTGCACGTTAGTCTTTAATCACACTGACTGGGTGTAATGAGCTGCATGTGGAATCTGTTGAAAACCCACAGAATAATATTTGCAGATAGGAGAGAGTGTTTCTCCTCCTCCTGATCCTTGCCCACTGTCAGATAATTTCGCTCAGGGGTTCCTCAGGGTAGTGTCCTAGGCCCAACCATTTTCAAAAGAATTTAAGAGCAAAAGAGAAGTACAGCACAGGAACAGGCCCTTAGGCCCTCCAAACTTGTGCCGATCATCATGCCCTAACTAAACTAAAAAACAAACCTTCTGCCCTTATTCGGTCCATATCCTTCTATTCCCTCCCTATTCACATAACCATCCAGATGCCTCTTAAATGTTGCCAATGTGCCCACTTCTACCATCTCCTCTGACAGTGCATTCCAGGCTCCTACCACTCTCTGCGTGAAAAACTTCCCTCGCACATCTCCCTTAAACTTTCCCCCTCTCACCTTGAGCCTGTGCTCCCTTGTAATTGAAACTTCAACCCTGGGAAAAATCCTCTGACTATCCACCCTATCTATGCCTCGCATAATTTTGTAGACCTCTCAGCTGCCGCCTTTCCAGTGAAAACAATCCTAGTCTTTTTAACCTTTCCTCAAAGCCAATGCCCTGGAGACCGGGCAACATTCTGGTGAACCTTCTGTGTACTCTCTCCAAAGCTTCCATGTCCTTCTGGTAATGTGGTGACCAAAACTGCACACAATATGCCAAACACGGCCTAATGAGGGTTTTATATCGCTGCAACATGGTTTCCCAATTCTTGTACTCCATGCCCCAGCCAATGAAGGTAAGCATGCCACATGCCTTCTTAATCACCTTGGCCACCTGTGTTGCCACTTTTAGGGAACTGTGGACCTGCACACCCAGATCCGTCTTAATATTCTTAAGGGTTCTGTTACTTACAGTATAATTCACACCTAAATTTGATCCTCCAAAATGTATCACCTCACATTTCCCTGGATTAAACGCCATCTGCCGTTTCTGTGCCCAAGTCACCAATCTATCTATACCCTGTTGTATCCTTTCACAATCGTCAGCACTATCAGAAACTCCACCAATCTTCTGGTCATCTGCAAACTTACTAATCAGACCACCCACATCTTTCTCCAGATCATTTATATATACTACAAACAACAGAGGACTCAAGACTGAACCCTGTGGAACACCACTAGTTACCGGTCTCCTTTCTGAAAAAACTTCCTTCTACCACTACCCTGTGCCTTCTTTGACCAAGCCCGTTTTGTATCCATCTAGCCTGCCCACCTCGAGTCCCATGTGATTTTAGTTTTTGTACCAATCTGCCATGTGGGACTTTATCAAATGCCTTAGTAAAGTCCATATAAACTACATCCACAGTCCTTCCCTCATTAATTATCTTTGTCACCTCTTCAAAAAATTCAGCCAGGTGGGTGAGACATGACCTTTCCCACACTAAACCATGCTGCCTGTCACTAACTAACCATTTTCCTCCAAATGTGCATATATCTTGCCCCTCAGTATCTTCTCCAAGAGCTTCCCCACCACAGATGTCAGGCTCACCGGCCTATAATTTCCTGGATTATCCCTACTTCCTTTATGAAAATCTCCAGCCCTCTGAAACCTCATCTGTGGTCAAAGAGGACCTAAAGGTATCTGCTAATGCCCCAGCTATTTCTTCCCTTGCCTCTCGCAGTAACCTGGGATAGATCCCATCTTAATGCAATTTAGGATTCCCACAGCTTCCTCCTTCAGTATAATGACATTATCTAGAGTATTCACACACACTCATCCATGACCTCAACATCAGTCGTGCCCTTCTCCTTGATGAATACTGATACAAACTACTCAGTAAGGATCTCTCCCACTTCCTGTGGCTCCACGTATAACTTCCCTCCTTTGTCCTTAAGGGAGCCTACTCTTTCCCTTGGTCCCCTCTTTCTTCTACAAATGTATAAAAAGCCTGGGGATTCTCCTTGACCCTGTTTGCTCAAGACATTTCATGGCCCCTTTTAGCCTTCCTAATTCTGCATTTAAGTTCCTTCCTAATTTCTCTTTACTCCTCAAGGGCTTCATTAGTTCACAGCTGCCTAGACCTATCATATGCTTCCTTTAACCTTTGGACTATTATAATTTCCCTTGTCATCCATGGTTCCTGAATCCTGCCATTCCTATCCTTCAGTTTTACAGGGACATGCATGTCCTGCACTTTAGTCAATTGATCTTCAAAAGCTCCCCACATGCCAAGTAGAGATTTGCCCTCAAATAACTGCTCCTGCTCCACATTCCCCAGTTCCTGTCTAATTTGGATGTAATTGGCCCTTGCCCAATTAAACACCCTCACCCAAGGGCTACTGTTATCCTTGTCCACGACTGCTCGAAATCTTATGGAGTTATGAACACTAAGCCCAAAATGCTCTCCTACTGAAACATCGATCACCTGTCCTGGCTCATTCCCTAGGACCAATTCTAGTATGGCCTCCTCTCTGGTTGGATTGTCAACATGCTGCCTCAAAAAGCCTTCTTGGACACATCTAAAATTGCTCTCCATCCACGCCCTTGGCTCTAAGGGAGTCCCAGTCAATGAGAGGAAAGTCTAAGTCACCCACCACAACGACCCTGCTTTTTGCACATCCTTTCCAGTGTGTGACTGTGTTTCTGCTCCTCTGTCTCCTGTGGGCTGTTGGGAGGTCTATGGAAAACTCCCAACGTTCAGCTGCTTCATCAATGACCTTCCCTCCATCATAAGGTCAGAAATGGGGATGTTCGCCGATGATCGCACAATGTTCAGCACCATTCATGACTCCTCAGATACTGAAGCAGTCCATGTTCAAATGCAACAAGATCTAGACAATATCCAGGCTTGGGCTGACAAGTGGCGAGTAACATTCGCGCCACACAAATGCCAGGCTATGACCATCACCAATAAGAGACAATCTAACCACCTCCCCTTGACATTCAATAGTGTTACCATCACTGAATCCCCCACTATCAACATCCTGGGGGTTACCATTGACCAGGAACTCAACTGGATTCACCACATAAACACAGTGGCTACAAGAGCAGGTCAGAGGCTGGGAATCCTGCAGCGAGTAACTCACCTCCTGACTCCCCAAAGCCTGTCCACCATCTACAAGGCACAAGTCAGGAGTGTGATGGAATACTCCCCACTTGCCTGGATGGGTGCAGCCCCAACAACACTCAAGAAGCTTGACACCATCCAGGACAAAGTAGCCGCTTGATTGGCACCACATCCACAAATATCCCACTCCCTCCACCACCGACGCTCAGTAGCAGCAGTGTGTACTATCTACAAGATGCACAGCAGAAATTCACCAAAGATCCTCAGGCAGCACCTTCCAAACACATGACCACTTCCATCTGGAAGGACAAGGGAAGCAGATACATGGGAACACCACCCCCTGCAAATTCCCCTCCAAGCCACTCACCATCCTGACTTGGAAAAATATTGCTGTTCCTTCAGTGTCGCTGGGTCAAAATCCTGGAATTCCCTCCTTAAGGGTATTGTGGGTCTACCTAAGTACTTGGACTACAGTGGTTCAAGAGGCAGCTCACCCCTACCTTCTCAAGGGACAACTAGGGATGGGCAATAAACATTAGCCCAGCTAGTGACACCCACATCCCATGAGAGAATAAGAAGAAAATGCAGATTATTAAACAAAAAATTACAGCTTGGAAAGTGCAAATAAATAAGGTTGTGGGAGAAACCATGCTGAATTATATAAATTGGCATACTGCTGTTGTGAGGCAGTGTGAAGGGAGGTCTTGTGGTTTATCATGAGCTTCTCCTCTACCTCCTGCTTTTGACAGGAGAATCTCACATGATTGAAGAAGGTTATCAGGTGCTGGAGTAAATAGGAAGGCAATGAGCAACCCTCAGTACATTTCTACTGTTAACATGCTCTCTGTCTCTAATTTCTACCCTGACTTGGTGTGACAGCTTGAAGTCAAAAGAAAGATAGAAACAGAAAGAGGGAGAGAGAATGTGAGAATGTTAGACAGAAATTGGAGATAGATAAATGAGAATTGGAAAGTGAAAGGGAAGAAAAATTGACGGACAACCAAATAAATGGGGGGGGCCGCGGAGGAGGAAGAGCGAGTGAGACAGGCAAACAAAGAAAGAGGCCGATACACAGAGTGAAAAAGATGAAATTAGATTACAGTGGTGAAGATGAAATTCTATCTTTGACATTAAAGTAGAGAGGATATTAATTATTTCAATGCAGCATTCTCAAGCCACTCGACATTGCTGAGAATATATTCTTCAAGGTAATCATGTGTGAAGCATAGCGATCTTGTCATCGCTGTTGGACTGGCTTCAGAAAGCGTGCACAGTCTGTAGAGATTGAAATGGGAGTTGACACGTTGAG